AGCCATAGGACCAAGATGTGGCTACTTGATAATGCTGTGTATTTACGTATTAAATTTCATCACTGATTAGAGTCAGTTCTTAGCTGTATTATATAATTGCTTCAAAGACCTCTGGATGAGGAAATAGTTGAAATACCTTGGCATTTTGCTATTCATAGTTTTACTCTTTGTGTATTTGTCTCAGTTTGGAAGGAGGTATATATTTTGCATTTGGGTGGGTTTAAGAAATGTCAGTTACAATGTAGTAAATGCTTCCCAAGTAGCAGGGTCAGCTCATGCCTTGTTTTCAGATGCTGTATCTTATTCTGCAAATGGCTAGATATTCCAGTGCTCTTATGTTTCAAGGGTCTTGCACATTTGATTACATACATGATTTCTGTGCCACTTAAGGTTTGAAGTACTTCAGGTACTGTGTGATGCTCAGTAACACCCTCCATTTAAAGATGAGGAAACCGTTAAACAAAACTGTACAATTTTAATTCATTGTAAGTTTTCTGTAGTGAGCCCAGGGTGTGTAAACAGCCTAGTGTTTACCATCTCCGTCCTAGACTGTCAATGATTGATTTCAGGCCTTCCCTAGGTACTCTGCATGTCATTTTACACTCACTAGAATTTGTCTCAAGTGGTAATATTATTCTTATTGCTTAGTATTGCTTTTAAAAGCAAGAAAACTAAAAGCGAAAGGTAGTTAGCACACTGGGAGGAGTGCTAGAGGGTAGATCATTGCCTGCACACTGCTCAGGCTGTCTGGGTTTTTGTTCAGGCTCTATATAAAGTTCTGAGACTCTGATAAAGTCTCTTAATCTCTCCAAGTCTTGGTTTCCTAAGCAGTGCCAGTCTTGTAAGGTTGTTTCAAACATTAAGTGAGTTAATAATACTTAGGTAGTGATGGACATGAATTGTGGTCTGGGGACCTGTTCTTACAGAGTGATGTAACTCAGTGGAAGGAAGTAGTCCTTGAGATGGGAGCCAGTGTTGCTGCCTCACTCATTGCTTTCTCATCAAGGGAAGCAACATGTACGCAAGAAAGAATATTAATAGAGCTGTTATTTTAAGAAAGAGGAGATAATAGGTATGAGACTGAAAATTCAAGGGAAAGCATCATAAAAGTTTAAAATTGTAGTCTAGGTTGAGAGATGAGGGCATAAGGAATAAGTTTTATAAAAAAACAGAGAAGTATTTTAGGTGACCCTGGGAAGTGAGCACACACACTGTTTCTAGACTCTTTCTTGCACAATATTTACTTTAATCTTTTACTGGGGAGGGACATCAGAACAACTGAAATAGAACCAGTGACCATCCTTCCAAATACACTTGTCATACATGTCAAATATTGGCTTTCAACATTTAGAACTCTGAGCATTATTATTTAAAGCATTTGCTCTTACTACTTTTCCATCTATAAAGTGATAGGTAAAAAGCTGGCAGAGAATGAGCGAATGGATGGTGAGGCACCGAGGCACAGCTAAAACTCCATCAAAATAGGGTTTATTAGCAAAGGAACACATGGGATAGATTCCCTTCCCGGCAGGGAAAATGTCTGCCCGGGTCTTGAGCTGGGGTCTTTTAAAAAGGGAGGCTGCTGCTTCCTGCAGAAGGCAGGAAGATGTATTTTTTTAAAGTTGGGTCGGGGGAGTGGGAGAGCAGGACTGTTAAAACCTGTTCTCTTTAGAGATCAAAGAGCAAGCCTGCTGTGTTGGCCAAACTGTGGAGAAAAGTCTGCTTCTCTTGACTTCAAAGACCAAGGTGCTTATCAGCTAGGTTTCCTTTTCTCAGGAGCATGAGAAGTCCTTGGGATCCTGTTGGTGAGGGGGCAGGGCTATCTGAACTTTAACATATAGTACTTGTAATACTTCATTAATCCTATTCCAATTCTTGACTATTTTTGACACTCTACTGTCTAGTTCTTTGTTTCTGTAGCTTATACATCCTCAAAGACACAGGCCAAGTCTGATTACATGATTGGTGCTACTCTCAATAACTGACCAAAGACCAAATTGTAGATTGCTGAGATGAATCATTCTTTCCTACCAGTAATTCTTCTTGGAACTGTATGAATTCTATTAATTAAAAATTAATGTGAAGACAGAGTGTGGTGGTGCACGCCTTTAATCCCAGCACTCAGGAGGCAGAGGCAGGAGTGAGATCAAGGCCAACCTGGTCAACATTTCAAGTTCCAGGCCAGCTGGGGCTACAGGAGAGACCAAGTCTCAACACCCCCACCTCATGCAAAACAAAAACAAAAAAAAACTAAGCTTTGAAAAATTAACAAATTAACATGAGGAAATTCCAGTTGATAATTTAGGTCTTTTAATTCTTTTAAGATTTATTTTTACTTTTAATTATGTGTCTATGTCTATTTCTGTGTGTTGGTATATGCACATGGATGCAGGTGCCTTCTGGCAACCAGAAGCATCTGATCCCCCAGGACCTGGTGGTTGTGGTTGTTGGACATTGAACTGGGGGGTCTCTGGGAGAGCAATGCATGCTCTTAACCACTGAGCCAGCTCTCCAGCCCTAATTTAGGTCTTTTAAATTCGGTACTTTGTCCCCTTTAATCTTTAGTTATACTTTCCTTTTGGGTGTTTGAGGCCATACAGTTGGCCCTGATAAACCAATTTATTTTTACTCTTAAGGCTATTTGAAGATCTGTTCCTCAGGGGTCACATGGGCTTGGGAGGAGCCCCTGGCTCCTTTCTTTTACCAGTGTCTATGTGAAGATAACTCAAAGATCCTGCTTGACCATGGCTGGCTTCACTTGGAAGCATGGAGGAAATGTTTCCTCTGTCCTGACCCTCTTCTTTGTAGACTGGACTAAAGGCTACATAACAAGAAATAATTCCAGATAGGAGATACCTTCTTTTGAGTTGTTGGCCAAGGTGGCCCAAGAGACTCCCAGATAGTAACCCAGCATAAAACTGGGAAAATGAACAGCAGACCCCAACCTTATCTAAAGGAATGTTGACAACTGATTGCTGTTAGATGAGGAACAGCTGACCTTCCTAAAACAAAGACCTCCAGATAGGCTGACTAGATCACCAGATGGACAAGTAGTAGGGAATGGCTGGGGTTGCTGACAACACAGCAGACAGTAGCAGGGAAGACAAAGTAAAAGGGCTCTAGTGGGGGGTGGGGGGCTATGGGAGGGTGCCATCTGGGAAGTGGGTTTATAGATGAATAAGATTGGGATGTTCTGTGTGATATACACACAAAAAAACAACAAATTAAAAACTGAGTTATATTTGAGGAGGAAGAATAAAAATTCATGTCATGTTAATTAGTAGAAGTGATAAACATTACCATTGAAATCTGTCTGATGACTTTATATCCATACACAGGTGCCAAGGATCTGTGTGCAACCAACCATGACTAGTAATAATCAGATACATACAGATTAGAGATGCATGTGCCAACATCTTAGTGTTATTAGCAAAAACAATGAGTCTTTCTGTAAGAAACAGTATATTTTAAAATGAAATGGAGATCTTTTTTAAAAGTTAAAAACTCATTCAATTTTCTGTCTTACAGGGCTTATACTGAGTTCAATATTGTATAAATGTATTAACTCAACTGTGAACCTAGAAACTTCCACCCACCTGTGAAAGAGATGCACTCTTGCTCTGGAGTATGTTACTGAATATGTTAAATCTGTAGTGAAATGCTTCTTCTAATCAAGTAGTTGTTAAAAAT